GCTTTCTCAATGCTGGATGGTTGATAGTGGTTGGTTCTAGATTAAGCTTTTGCTTTAGTCAGGGTTCTCTAGAGTGGCAGAACTATACTATCTGTCTGCTATCTATCTATCTATCTATCTATCTATCTATCTATCTATCTATCTATCTATCATGTATATGGAAAGGGGATTTATTAGAATCACTTACACACTATGGTCCAGCTAGTCTAAAAATGAATAGAAAGTCTAAGAATCCAGAAGTTGTTCAATCTATGAGGCTGGATGTCTCAGCTGGTCTTCAGTATCTGCTAGAGTCCCAAAGATGTAGGTTCTAATGCCAGCGAAGAAATGGACTTGCTAGCAAGACATGAGCAAACAGGCAAAGAGCAAAAGCTTTCTTCTTCTATGTCCAGCAGAAGGTATGACCCAGATTCAAGGATATCTTCCGACTTCAAGATCAGGATCAAAGACGTGAGTCTTTCTACCTCAAAGGTCCAGACTGGAAGTGGATTCACCCATTACAAACCAAGGAAAGAAAAAAAATCCCCTCACAGGTGTACCCTCCATTTCTAGGCTCTAGTTCATTCCAGATGTTGACAACCAAGAATAGCCATCACGGCTTTCAATCCTAAATGTCAGAAACATAGGCTTGTCCAGTTTCTCTCTCTTCCCAGTGCACCCTCTTCCCTAGAGCTGCCCCCCCTTTTCATCGACAGCTATGTGGGTCCCATTCCAATTGAGTCTCCTTTGTGAGCCCCAACCTCAGCTGTGCAAAACTAGCTCCATCAGGCCCTTGACATAACCTCCCTGTTCTGCTTACATGATTCCTTTCTTCTTGGCTTCCTTGTTTGCTCTCAGAGGCCCTTTCCATTTCTCGCCTACTCATTCTCTGTTTTATCTGATTATTTATTTGAATTTCAGGCCCTTATCATGTATACTCATTAAATGCAGTAGACTCGTAACAGACTTACAGGACTGTAGTTGGGTTTATTGTTTCCTCTGATGAATTTATCCCCTTCTTATCTGATATAGAAATTTATTTCATAAAAGTACTCACCAATGAACTTATTCCTTTTAGCCAATATTTCTGAGCTTGTTCATTGTAACAAGTGTGTTAGTTCCAGGGACTAAAACCATCGGTAAACCAAGGCCCAACAGAGCTGAAGTGAAGTGGAACATAGTATGTGTAAGCTTCCCTCTCTCTGCCCCAGGACTGTGTCCTCCTGAAAAATGCATGGTCCCTGTCTCACCTTCCTTCCGCTGGAGTCTTATTATCTACCCTATCCTTCTTGGGACTTGCTTGTGGGCAAGCTTCATTTCTTTTGTTGACATTTGGATGCATCTCTTCTCTCCAGAGAAAGTGAATTTTCCTTGTGGTTTCAGATTCTAGCTTTATGTGCCACTCTGTCACTCCTGAAATTATGGAGTATCTGGGCTCTTCCTGCCATTCCCTGGGGCGCTCTGGATGGTTAGGTAGACAGGCAGAAGATCTGTGCTCCCTACCAAGAGAGTAACATCAAGCTTTTCAGCCACGTCCTTAGGAATAGTTGTCAGGACACGCTTGTATCTTTACTTTCCAGTCCATCTGCTCTAGACTAGAGGAAAGAGTAAGGAGGTTAGCTTCCCCCCAAAATCTAGGTTCGTATCCATCTTAGACTTAACTGGGGCGCTATTTAACTTCTTTTGAAGGATAGCATCAATATCTGTAAAGGGAAATAATAGTACCCACCTCTTGCTGATTTGTTGTGGAGATGAGATGACACATGTATTAGTTTTCTGAAGCTGCTATAACAAACCTCAGACTTTGTAGCTTAATGCTACACACCCGCCTGCCCCTGCCCCCATTCTGTGGCACTGGCAGTTGAACTCCAGGTCTGTGCATGCTGGGCAGTTGTTGTACCAATCAGCTGCAGTTCAAATTCCAACAGCAGATTTTATTATCTTACAATAATCTACTTCAAGGTTCCAGTACAGACCTCCATAGGCTGAAATCAAGTTTCTGGCAGGGTCTTGCACTTTCTGTAAATTCTGAAGGAGATTCTGTTTTCTTCTTTTTTTTTTTCTGGCTTCTTTAAGTTGTCCATATCCTTGGTTCATTATCTTCATCCACTGTTTTCAAAGCCAGTGACCTTTCATCTTTATGGCCACTCTCCCGTGATCATAGCTCCCTCGCTGCTGCGAAAGTCTCTCTGTTTTGAAAGGATTTAGAGAGTTAAAGTGTGCTCACCCGACTAATTCAGGGTAGTCTCTTGGTGGAGATTTAGATGCTTTCCAAGGTGAACTGTGTTTTCCTCTGCCGTTTTCTGAGTCTTCACTAAATGGATTTTCAAAACAATGTATGACATTTCTATCACGCTTTCAACAGTGAGATAGCTATTCTTGGTTGTCAATTTGACTATATCTGTAATGAATTATAATCCAGAACTGGAGGACACACTTGTGATCTGGATCTTGATGCAAGGAGACAACAAGCCTTTGATCTGGAACTTGAGGATGGAAGACACATGCCTTTAATCCAGATCTGGAGGGTACACCTTTAATCTGGGCCACATAGTCTTCTGGAAGCTTATATAGGGACAAGGAAGAAGGAAAGGTTTGTTCTTCACCTGCTTGCCCTTACCTTGTCAGTACATCCATTCCCTTTGTGGGGTCCCAGCTGTGGAACAAGCTGAGACACCCCGCCTCCTGGGACTGAGAAGCTACTAGATACTTGGACGTTCCATTCAAAACTAGCAGTTGTTGCACTGAATCCTGCAAGTCATTCCAGTATTTATTTTCTTTAAGATCCTTTTAAAATCTCCCTTTAGCTGGACCCAACCAGAAGCCAGAGAACAAGAGAGACTGAAGGACAGGGTTTGGGATAGGAAGGTAAGAGGTGAATGCTTGGGAGGTTGTGTGGGTATAAGGAGTAACAAACAAAAAGATAAAAATGTTCTAGAATCATTGATATTTGATTTGACTCATGTTTATGGCTTGCTTTCAATACTTGGAAGTTAAATTAAATCGTCTAACATTAATAAAAGAAAGCCTTTCCCTAAGGATAGGTTCGCCTTCTACCTGGCCTGTATTACCAGCAGCTGCCAGGCTCTACTGTTCCCTCAGCACCTGAAGCTGATGAACTGGGAGTGGGGCCAGGACTAGAATGAGAAAAACATTTTTTTCCCATCAGCCCAGATCCTTGCTAGGTGCTCAGTGAGTACTCTGGAACATTCTTGAACAGCAGAGTGAGCATGACTGTGCGTATTTCACGCAATTCTATTTTTCCTCAAGATAATCGTAGACATTTAGCCAGGCAACATGTTACTTGACATATCTACTCTTAGGCAGGGAATGGATCCTGTCAGTTAAAATATTGATTATATTTTCTGCTTCCCACTTTTGAAAATTCAGCCCCTGCATGATTGCAATGAGCTAAGGAGAGGTCAGAGGCTCAATTTGCGCATTAATCTTACACCTTGCAAGAGAATTCAGTCCTCAAACAGCTTTAAAGAACACACCTGGCTGGCGTGTCAAGGTCAAATGGCTCAAAGAGACACGAAGGTTTTCCTTGGTAGGGAAGACACGCCAGGTTAAGTTCCACAGAGTAGATGCTTTAGTGTGACAAGGGAAAGCATCACCAGGTGGCAGATCCTTCCAGATTAATTATTGCATTAAAAAGTCAAACTGTAGCTATGTTATGTGGCTGCAAAAATTTGGCCCAATCACCCATGTAATTACAACATTTTTCAGTAGTATGTAATTAAATTGCTTTTTAAATGCCACCTGACAGTTCCGCACACATCGAAGGAGGAGAAGCCTAACAAAATTCTGTTCAACATGTAAAATCTTCCATCTGACTGAGCAGTTGGCACACACATCTTAATGGAGGTGTATTAAAATGCACCCAGAATTTGTTTTTATCAAGTGTGGCAAGCACCACAGCTCATGCGGTGGCTGCCCTGAAGGAAGCCATTTTTGCCCGCAGTTCTCAGGAGACCAGAGGCACAGCATGCCCTTTAGGATCCTGTGGGCAAGCAGCTTTGTCAGAAGGCAGACGTGGGCGAGGAGAAACATGAGCAAAAGCCGCTGTCACGAGGCGAGGCAGGTAGAAAGGCTGTGCGGATCAGGACCGACAGCTGTGGTCATGTCCCTGCACCCTGGCTGCAGAGGCTGCTTCTGGTTTCTGGTGCCAAGGTGATGATACGAGTACTGTTGCCTCGTGGAATGTAAAAGCCAGGCAGACAAGGTGGCTCGAACTCCGTGTTCTTGATTAATGTCTTACAAGTTAGGCTGGCAGGCCATACCGTCTGTCTCCAGAAGTTAGCTGGGCCTAGGACAGACCGTCTTTCTAGGAACTAGCCAGGTCTCAAAATGTCAAATTATCACAACCACAGAAAAAATACTGTAGCTAATGCAATAGGACTCAGAATATCGTCAGGAAGGGGGATGCAGCCAGCTGTCTTGTTCGTACCATGTCTTTCACTGTATGCGTTACCTGCAGTACTTCAGGTAAGATGGAGTTGGATGAGGGAGCTATCTGTGAGGCAATTCTGGGCATTTCCTTACAGGAAATACAAATACTGCTACTCAATAGACAGTTACTATTTTTTTTTATAAGCATTTCTCTGTGTTTTCCTGTTTAATTCCGTCTTGAGGAAGTTATTTTTGTTGAGAGATGTCAATAACTAGTGACAGCTTTAGGACTGATGTGATTATGGTCCAGGTCCTCCACACTTGGACAAGGCATCAAGCCTGGTTGTGTTGTGCAGTTGAGGACTGTGCGTCTCATGTGTCTTCGAACCTGGAACTCACGGGGATCTCGGCCACAAAGCAGTACAAGGTAGTTTAGTACAGGTCTGTGTGGGCAGTAAGAGCTGCCTGCTCTTGTTTTCATGTTCCATTTGGAAGTGTTCAGCCATGGTGGTCAGCTAAGGTTGGCCATGTGCTTATTGAAGCTTAAGGCAGTTGGGTCAGCCTGGGAAGGCTTGAGAAATTATCCCAAGCCACACAATGAATCATGTATTTTTTTTTTTTTCCTCAAGGGCTGAAAGAGCCAAGGGTTGACTCCAAACTTGAAGAGTTGATGGATCTCACATCAAGAGTTCTGTAGGTAATTCTTGCTGAGATGTTAGCTCTGTAGGAACTCAGCTAGGTGTTCTGGCTGCTCACAGCCAAGTGAGAGGCATGTCAAGTGACAGAAGACTCAGGACCTTTGGACACAGGCAGTTGGTCCTGCTGATTTAGGAAGGGCCAACTGTGAGAAGGTTGCCAGTAAGTGATGTAAGTAGAGATGTCCAGGAAGCTGCTGACCCCTCAACCAGCAGGGGTTTTTTACTGTGTCCACGTGTCTATTTCCACCTTTTGAAGGGGGCACTCAATTGATTTAGGACCAGCTGGGGAATTTTTATCTAACTTAAAAGCATGGTATCATTTAATTGTAAACGATATTGAATGTGCCACTTGCAAATGAAAGCAAAGTTGGCCGTGTTTATTGATTTGTTAAAGTGTGCATTTCACTTAATAAGAATGCAGAGGTAAAGTGGCTGCTTCATTCTGTAACACTGATAGTTGAGACACTTATTGGACTGACAAGTGCATAGGTTCCAGACTGTTTTGTGAGGAGACTGGGAAGTTGTGTTAGGTTTATGCTCCATTCTTACTTTGTTACCAAGGGCTTTCCATTTCCTCTCTGCTGACATCAGAGACGAGTTTGGCCTTCCTTTCTCTTCTCTGTCTTCTGGTTAAAACTGTGTGGCTGTCACTCCCGTGACTTGCCAGATGTTCTTGCTTTAGATTTGATTTAAGTCAATGTCAAACATGCGTGTTGGCTTCTTAGTGCTTCCTGACCTGGCTTGTAACACCAAATATCTCTTTTGCTCATCAATATCATTTCATTCTTTGATACCAATAGAGTATTTAAAAAATTCAATTAAATATTTATATTAACAGTAAGAGTTCCATACTCAGCCACATGGACTGTCTTCACTTTGGATTCCCGCAACAAACGATGGCCCAGGTGACTCACATGTTTGTCCAGTTGATACAAATTCAGAACTTCCTGTGATCACCCTGAAGGTTTGATAATTACCTAGAACTTCTCATAAAACTCAGGAAACCATTCGCCTGGCATTTACTAGTTTATTATAAAGGATATAACACAAGAATTCCCGATGAGAAGGTATTGGGAACACAGCACTTCTGTACCTTCTCTGGCTACAGCTCTGTCCCAGAGCCTCTGAGTTTGTAACCCTGAGGAAGTTCTTAGAAGCTTATTCAGTATCTTTACCAGAACACACTCTACAGCCCCACTGCTACTCCTTCCTTCTTGTGGCTCAAAGTCTCAACCCTGTAATTGTAATTAAGTTTGATTTTTCTGGTAACAAGTCCCATGCTGAGCCTAGGGGTTTTACCTTGAATCACCCCAATAGCACGAAGGCAGAAATTATTAAGGTTACAGGAGCTTTGAGCTAAATGTCACAATGCATGCATGCACTCACACACACACACATATATGCATGCACACATGTGCACACATACTAGTGAACCATAGTTCTAAAGTGAGATCTTAAATATTATGCTTATGAATATTTCCACAAGGTTCTTCCTAGTCTTTGGCACTGGTTCAGGCTTTCTCTTCTTCCTTCACAGAGCTGGGTGATGGCTCTGGATTCCCTGATCTGATGTTGCATGACTAGAATAAAAAGGATGCGAAGATTTCAAGTATTTTAGGGCATGAGACATGTCCTTAGTAGATGTGTGGTTTCGGAACTGCATGTTTGAAAGGAGAATATGGCCTGAACAGCTGGGGCACTCTGCTGTTCACTAATGAAGTCGAAACAGCTAGCTTGGAAGGCGTTTCCCTAGCTGTGCTGAGCCCAGAAGCGAACTCTGGGTAAACACTGAAATCAAAGCAGAAATGGCTCTCTTGGCTGAATGAGGGAAACGTCTGTGCAAGTTTCAAAAGAATTGAGGTCAGATAACTCAAGCTGGAGTGGCTGCCAACCAGACACTTAGCTCTGCCTTCTTTTGGGTTGCCTGAAAAAAATGAAACAAACGAAACAAAACTCTTCCCCACGGAGCTAGCTGCGGGGTGAGAACAATGGAAAACATTTCCCCTTGCTGGGAATTCATGAACAGTAATCTTCTCCTCCCACTTAACATTATCATGCAGGCACTGTTTTGTTGTTTCTGATTGTCAGTTTTCCGTTCCTGTGACAAAACCTGAGGTCCTGTAATGGAGGAACAGTTCCCTTCGGCACTTGCTTCTAGGGATCTCTGCCCATTGTCACGTGGCCTCAGTGCATTAGGCCCTTGCTGAGGCAGAGCACCGGTGTGTTGTGGAGGACTGTTCACCTCATGGTGGCTAGGAAGCAGAAGACAGGGGTCTGTCTGGAGGACTTAGAGATCAGGGTCCCAAGGTCCTCTGTGGGGCCATGCCTTCTTCTTCTTCTTTTTTTTTTTAAAGTAATTTTATTAAATTATAAAAGTTTCCATTTACACCCCTCTTCCCAACACCCTCCCACTCCCCCCCCTCCCTCTCCTCCTCCCTCTGACACTGGGGCCATGCCTTCTTTACCCAACTTCCTCTAACTAGGTTTCACTTCCTGGGCTACCACCACTTGCCAATAGTGCCAATAAGTTGAAGACCAAACTTTAATACCTAGGACTTGGAGGATAGTAAAGATCTAACAGAATTGTGCAACATGCATCCCAGAGGCCACATGTGTCCCAGGATACCTGTGAATGTGGCCCAGTGCATTTGTGGATGACAACCACATATCACAATGTCAAAAGGTTGGATACTCCTGAGCAGCCACAGTTGGTCAGTGTTGGTATATGCTTGTCCTGAAGATCATAGATACAGAATAACAGAGGAATTTGAAGTAGAAGTCCTGGCGCTAGATCAGCCTGCCACCTTCGGGCTGTGTGGCCTGGAGAGAGTCACAGATATGCTATCTGCCTCAGTTTGGTCACCTAGAAATTAGGGCAATAATGGTAGTCAACTTACAAGTTCAATGCTGGCAGAAAAGATGTCACCAATGTCACTTATTATCATTGAAATGGGTATTTTATTGTCAGATATGTATTTAGTAGAACATTTATAGCATACAGAAAACCAGAAAAAAAAATCATCCAGTAATCTAAAACCCAGAGAAAGAACTTATAACTTATATAACGTTTTGGCTACTTTTTCTTTTTTAAAATATATTTTCTCTTACTTTGTCGGGGTAACATATATATTTAATATGATATGATGCAGTATATTTACTTGTTTCCCAACCTTAAGCACTTGATATATTCTTTGTACACATTAATATTTTCAAAGATCTCACGAGTCGTTGCTGTAATCATGCAAACCCAACCTCTCCTCCATAGTTGTCATTTAGAACACTCTCTGTCTCCATATAAAACTGGAGTGATCAGAAATTAACTCGGTGGAAGGTTGAGGGCCAGGACAGCCGGAGTGGCGCGTGCTGTTGTTTGTCCCGGGGTGTCATCGGCAGCCATCCACAGACCGTTAGAAGAGGGCTGGCTACGTTATGAAAAGTACGCTGGCGACAGCTTTGTAAGACTTTTTTCTTCTTCCATATTAGAAGCTACTTCCTTCTGCTTGATCCCAAGAAACAGACGGCAGGGTGGAGGGATGACAGGTGTTGTTTTCTAGAGTAGTTGCTTTGCTTTTCCCCCCGGAGGCAAGGACGTGTGGGCCAGCTCCTCTTTCTGTGGGTTTCGGGTTTGGGAGTTTGAGGAATATTTGGCTTCACCAAAGCTCTACAACTGAGTTAACACGGATGAGAACTGACATCGGCTCCCACCCCATCCTTCTTTTCTCCAGGGGTTTCCTTTCTTTCCATCTCTTGGTTCAGTGTTCTCTACCTGAACCAAGCCCCCCCACCCTCTATGCCCCATTCAACCTCCCTCGTTTCCAGTCTGTGGATGTGGTATAATAGGTCATCCCCATTCAGATGCTGGTGGCCAGGAATCTTCCTCTTCAGGGAGTGTTTGTGTTTGAATAAAGGCTTCTTGAACCCTGGTTGAACTCACAGGGCTGAAGCCAATAGGGACATTTGGGGCACCATGGCAATTTAAAGCTTAGACCCCTAAGTCATCAGGTCATTGATGTTCTCCATGCGAGGCCAGTGCTTTGCACGGAGAGCATAAAGCCAGCTCTCTAGAAGCCTCACTGTTCTCTCTGCTGAAGAACTGACTGCCCAGAGTGGATGCTCACTTTCCTAATGGGAGGAGCGTCCCTAAGAGAATCTTGAGGAGTTGTTTGTGAGGTTGATACAACAAAGAACCATTCAGCAGCAGACCCAGATTCTTTATATAAACTACAGTTTTATGATCTCTATGATACCAGGTAGGGCTTCTTTTATGACTTGTATTAATCATCTGCTTGAAATTGCTCCAAGTATTGGAGGGCTTTGCTTGTATAGCTGATGGGTTTGATTTGACTTTGTTTCCCTGGGTAAACAGAGCCTGGGGACTGAAGCCCTGATTTCCATGATCAGAATAAACTCTGAGTGGCAGAAAGTCAGACTCTTATTTGACCATTGCTCTTCAGCAAGGTCACAGGTACCCTTGTGGCAAGGACCATGACAGGTCTTTAGTTGCAGACCCATAAGTCCACTTTCATGGGCTTAAAAGCCAAAGAAACATTTGAGTGTACCTGAGAGAATGGAAGACAGCTGGAGAGAAACATATGGTGCCCTAGATGGACAAGGAGGCAGAGACAAATGATTAGTGAGATTCTAAAGGGGTAGCTAGACTGGAGAGATGGCTCAGCTTTTAAACACACTTCCTGCTTTTGTAGAGGATAGAGTTAATTTCCCATCGCCCATATAGCAACTCATATCCTCCCATAAATGACTGACAAGATGGCTCAACATGCAAAGGTGCTTGCTACTAAGACTGAAGACCAAGTCAATCCCCAGGACCCACGTGGCGGAAGGAGAGAATTGACCCCCACAAGTTGTTCTCTACCTCCACATGGGCACACATATGTGTACAAATAAAATATGAAAGGGCAGGGGTCCGTCTCTCAAGCAGTCCTAGATGGCCCAATCGGCAGAAAGGGAAGGAAATGCTTAGCCAATAGATTGCCATCAATCCATAGTTCACAAGAAGCTGGCTTCCCATAGGAAGACAGCAAAGACAGTAGGTACCAGAACTGATCTGGTGCCAGCCTCCCCTTCCTCAGGTCACAGAGTGATCGTTCCTTGGTGCTCATAGTCTCCTCTGCTTCCTTTTAGCCTGATCTAAGCTGGTGATGGCCCCGCTGGTTGCTGTTGTATCCAGTCCACGTGCCCGGCTCTTTGCCTGTTTCCTCAGGCTGGGCACTCAGCAGGCTGGACCCCTCCAGCTGCACACGGGGGCCTGCTGCACAGCCAAGAACCACTATGAGGTGCTGGTGCTTGGCGGGGGCAGTGGGGGAATCACCATGGCCACTCGTATGAAGAGGAAAGTGGGAGCAGAGAATGTGGCCATTGTTGAACCCAGCGAGGTAAGTGTCCCTTGGCATGTGTGGCAGCATGTATGTGTTAGTCAGTGTGAGTACATGGTTTTTACATTTTATGGTTAATGCTTTTCCTGGGCATAAAATACCAGGAGGTGGTGGGGATCTGGGAGGAGTTTGGGGAGGGGAAAGAATATGTTCACAATATATTGCATGAAAAAAATCCTTTTAAGATAATAATGATAAATCACTGGGAGGGAGTGGAGGGTACCTGAGAATGAGGCAAGACCGCTAAGCCTTTTGGGTCCCTTCAGTTCTGACTCATTAGGGCTGCCACAACAGATTATTATAGCATGCGTGGTTAAGACAGCAAACACGTGTGCTATCACATTTTTTGAGGATACTAGTCCCAAACTATTGACAGGGTCACACACGCTCTGAAAGTTGTATATGAGAAAGCAAAGGTTTCGCTCTGCCTCCCCTCCTAGATTCTAGCAGTTAGGAGCAATTGGTGTCAATCCAGGTTTGCATTAACACCTGCGTTCTTGGTACTTGTCCTCATACGGTAGCCTCTGAGTCTTCTGTGCTGTGGGAATTTTTACCTTGGGGTAGGCCAGGGTTAAGAAAAGTATACCCTGTCCCCATAGGATAGTGGAGAGCAAGTGAAACACTGTTCCCTGGAAATGGTTTAAGATTACAGAAGCTTCAGAAAAAGTAGTCAAGACTTTTGGTGGTTTGCCTAATGTTTCCCCAAGGAGAAGGTAGGTGTGGGCCAGCTGGGATCTGTACCTATGGGAGAAGAAAGCCAGGTGGGCCCAGTGCCTGTTTTGAGATAGGTGGGTAGGACAAGAAAGACATATTCCTGTTTTGTCAGGGAACGAGACTCCCCTAGGACATGCTGCAGTCATTTCAACCCAGGAAGACTACCTCAAATGGCAGTGGTCTGAGAGCTGTATCAGGCGGCTGTCTTCTCTGGCGCATTCTGTATTGTGGCCGACCCACAGTGGGTCTCCCACAGGTGCTTTTCTTTACCATGTGTATAGCTCTTCTGGGAACTGAGCGGTCATTTCTCCCACTAAAATTCTCACCGGGCCTGACCCTGCATAGCTTCAAAGATCAGACAGGCTCAGGCGCCTTGGGCGTGGACTGGCTGTAGGTTTGGGCAGTCATCTCTGTCCTGCCCTGTGAGAAAGCACTCGTGGGACCTCTCTTGACAGAGTCTGCCATGCTCAGGCTCTGGGTGCCTGCTGGGCCTGATTGCTGGCGCTGATGTTTGTAGACTGGGGAAGCCCTTGAGCTGCTGTTTTTCTTCCACTTTCTGCTCAAGATGAACTCGAAATTGATGAGCTCTCACAGCTGGAGAGCTCTGCCCTCCTCTTTCGGGAACACAACCGCTATTGACCTTAGGGAGATTACAAACTAATCTTCTGTCTCCTTAACCACCCTCCGAGTTCCAGGCTGCTCTGGCCAGCCAAACTGGCCAAAATGCCGACAGCATTGTCACAATATGGAGAGCTTTTGGTTTCTTGATCCACCCAAATGAATGAACTCATTAAATCAACCTGCCATTTTCCCCAAGACTAGAACTCTCACGATTAATGATGTTTAAGAATAGGCTACCCGAAGCAAGTGTGCTGCAGAAGACAATGAGAATTTATTTATGTTTTGCTTTATGGATAAGAGTATGGTGCCTATTGGACTTGTGTGTAGAACCCTAGAGAGAGGAAAAGACAAATGGACCAGAAGCATCTACAGTCCTTTGTGGGAACATAGTTTGAAGTTAGTGAAGTTTTAATGACCCCCCGTAGAAATGCCAGTGAGCTTTCTAGACTTGCTATAATCTCCACATTCTTTGAAGGAATCACGCATTGCTTCTGGACCTAATTTTTCGTTCCATCTGTACACATGAGTTATGCATATAGATAGATAAATATGATCTATCTATATATATATTTCATATATGTAACACACACATAATAAATACCAAGTCAGTTTTTAGCAGTGAGAAATTGTGACTAACCCAGTGGTAATTAAAGACAATTTATCATTTTTTTTTGTTGGTCCTGGAAATACTCTTTGTTTGGGATCTTTCAGAGTTAATATATCAGAAAACACAACAGTAGGAATTAACCCTCTATGGACTGCTCTGTGTGATGCTCTAAGGGTCAGGAGGGACTAATTGGGAGTCTAGTTGAGATAATTTAAGCAAAGACTCTTTAGATAAGGCTCAAATGGAAACAAATCTCCTTAACACTTTGTTTCTCAGAGACACTTCTATCAGCCAATATGGACGTTAGTGGGTGCTGGTGCCAAACAGTTGTCCTTATCCGGCCGTTCTACAGCAAGTGTGATTCCATCTGGTGTGGAGTGGATTCAAGACAGAGTGGCTGAGCTGAACCCAGACAAGAACCATATCCGCACAGACAATGGCAAGGAGGTAACCGTCACGGCTCTTGGGCTTTCTTGTCACCAAGGGTGGCATAACCATTCTCAAGTTGCAACACTCTCATGGTAGAAGATGCCATAGATACCCGTGTTTGTATTTATATATGTGTTAAAGCTGCAAAAAAATGACAGTGTGCAGTAACTGGAAGATAGACAGAAAGAGTGAGTGGCTTTGGGTTAATAAACTAAAAAAAGTATTTGTTGAACACCTACTATGTGATATGGCGGGCCTCAATGGCTAGTATAGAGTCTTGTGACTGAAGTTTTGTTGAACAAATGCTATTTCTAGATATTAAAATAGCAGGTGCATTTCTCCCTTTCCTTTGAAGTAAGCTAGTGTTTCTGACTAACATCTGCTTTCCCATGGGAGTTGAGTATTGTGAAATACCCACACCAGTCACAGTAGGGACACAGTTAGGGGAGTCCTGTGACTAAGGTTTGTCTCAGCCCTGAGGGAAAAGTGATGTTGCCAGAGATGAGGGTCAGAAGTGCTTAACACTATTTAGACATCACTTCCTACACTAGGGCTACAAGTTTTTCAACAACCGTTTCCTTCATATTTGATGGAGCAGTTGGGAGTACAGCGGTGAGATCACAGGTCCACTACCCAGTATTCAGCTGCAGCTTGGTGTTCTCTGTCCACTTCTGAGCCCAGAACAGCAGCTGCCAGTCACTTCTCCAGTAAACAGGCCCCTGCCAGAGTTTCCTTAGCACAGAACCTGTGATGCTTCATGGCAGTGGGCATGTTATACAGAAGACATGCCCTCCTCCCCTTAACAGAACACCTCTAGAGGATAAGGTTGCATCTTCTCCTTGTAGTCTTAGAACTAGTAAGGAATTCACCAATGCTTGCTGGATGAGTAGACATATCAGCAAACACTTTCGGTTGCTTGAGAAAAATTGACTCTTATCCAAGTAGACAGATAATAACATCCATCCTGATCTGTATTCTGTGCCATTCAGAGAGTCAACACCTTGACAGTCTTGGTTCTGTAGGAAATTCAGCCCCTGAAAGACATGAGAAGTGACAGGAGCCTCGGGTCTCAGATGATGCCCTGAAGGGAAAACACAGGAGCACTGTAATGGAAAGATATTCTGCTTTATGCATACCTTGGTGGTTTTATCAAAGTGTAGCACTGATTATTTGTAAGGGTTGTTCACAGACAAGCTTATGGGAGGGAGGTCATTAAGAAAGAATAAAACCTAACTAGAAAGAAAACAAAAATTAAGCCCGAAGCCGTAAGAACGAGTTTCCAAGTCAGTTGACCCAAACCCCAAGGAGCTGCAAAGCTTGTAATGACTTTTGAGCAATGGCAGAGAATAGCATAGACCTTGCCAGAAGGCCTAATATGGACAAGTATCCTCATTTCATACATGGGATTTGGGGTGTGGACAGAGTGAGGGATTCTGACACTAAGAACCTAGTAAATCAGTAGCTAAACCCTTGCAAAACTCCAGCCCCACCTACTAAATAAATGTCACACAGTAATGTAGAAACAGAAGTGTGCCAACACGGGTTCAAAGAGACAAACCTGCCTTCAGCCAGTGACTAAGCTGCCCTGGCTCACGGTGAACATGCTGCCCATATTTCCTTTCCCTTTTTAATGCTCTTTATAAAATAGCAGCAACACTTCTTGAGCACGCACCTGGGCAAAGCACCGCTCTAAGTACTTTACAGGTTCCTGCTCATTGAGTGCTCAGAGCAGCTCAGCGAGGTAGGCACTGTTCTCATTTTACAAGTGGAGAAACCGAGACGTGGCTTCCTTACAAGCATTGACAGCATACCTTCTCTGCCCGAGACGCCATTCGGGAGACTGAGCATCCAAGGATGAGCAGGACGGAGACTTTATCTCCTTCAGGAACTCTCCCTGATGGGAACGATAAGGGTTTCAGATAACCATACAAGAAATTACTCAGCCACAGCGTGGCAAGAGGGAGCCAATCAGGTTTGTCAGGTCAAGAGAGACTTGCCGAAAGTGAGCCTTTCTAAGTTAAAGGGCCAGTAGGAATTAGTCAGGGTTAGAGGTGGTCACTATAGGCAAATGCCCTGGGGAAAGAAGGAAGCAGAGACATTGGAGGAAACAGAAGCCAGTATGGCTGGAGAAGGAAGGGTAAGAAGAAAAACACTTAAGTTCAGAGAAGAATTAAGGCTTGTGGTCTAGAAAACAGACTGCAGAGGCAGGAGTGTCAGGGACACAGTCTAGGTCATAGCACTGACCACAAGTCCACTTCCATCTAGTGTCTATGGCAGGAGAAGGTAAACTAAGAATAGACTGATTTGGTAAATTGAATCAAGTTTGCTAAAGAACTCTGATTAATTTATGCAATCTAAAGAAAGCTTTCTGAGGACATGTACAGAATTAAAACTTGAACTTAAATGAGGCCATCTGTGGTGAAAATTGCTAACTGGGTGGTGACAAGAATCATAAATCCAAGACTCAGACATAGTGGGAGGATAAACTGAAGCCAACAAGATATTTCTCGGGACACCTTCTGTATAGTTTCTGATGCTATCAGTGTATGCTGTACTCTGCTCAATAAAGTCCTAGAAGAACACCCTACCAGATTCACCAACTTCTTCAATAGCCTTGAAAAAAGACCCTACAATTTCCCCAAGTTTCTGAGCCTTCACAAATGGTACATGGCCACAACACCTACTAGGGCTCTTGCTCTCAAGAGATGTAAGATATTGATAATCTTCAAGATAATGAACCCCACTATAGAGACTGAGGAATTCCTGGACCGCCAAGTGGTCTACTCAATGAGGCAGGCTTGGTTGTATCAAGGAGACATGAGTGGTATCATGGAGAAGCCGCTTGACCTATGAGCAAAGATTTCTAAGTAAACAAGCCATGCACATATGTGCACATATATTTACTTATATATGCTTGTATATATGCTTTTTTTGTTAGGTAAAATTAAGACCAGCTTTTTTTTCTCTTCCAGAGCAGGGTGAATCATGTAGGAAGGAAGGATGGAGAGTTGTGAATTGACCTTGAACTCAACTTGTATCAGCACTGGGCTAAGTGTCATGGAAAAGGCACAAACCGCACCTAGCTGCGGAAGAGAACAGTCCTGCTGGTTCTAGGTCATTCTGTAGAGTTCCTATCCTTTCTCCTGGGCACTTTGTTCATGATAACATTAATAACTCAAATGATATTCCAAGTAGGGCATCATCCCGTACTCCAGGCCTCTTGTCATTTCCTGTGCCTTTCAATAGCTGGCTTCCCTATGGAACAAAGAGTGTCAAGGTGTGTTGACTCCCTGTGTGCCAAGAGTACACAGATATGGATGTTTTTTTTTTATTGTCTGTTAATTTTGATAAACTTAATTTTTTAAAAATGAACCTAAAACTGTTCCTCCATATATTTATTCATCCAACAAGCATTTTTGGACCTCACTAGGTCCTAGGACTATAGGCTTTATCCTCTAGGAGCGATCTGTGAAGTGAAGCAGGGCGTGACTTCTGTATAACATACCTACTGCCATAAAGCTTCATGGGCTCTGGGCTAAGGAAGCTTTGGCACCTGTGACAAGGGTGAGAGGCACAGTGAAGCATGGGTACTCTGGAACTAAGTCTCCTTTGTGACCAAGTGGGTTCTCTTTAACAACCGCTAGACTCCCCAGATAGAGTGGAGCACTCTCACGTCTTGGCGTCCATTCTCTTCAGCTGGGGTCTGCTCAGCTTGCTGTTTCTGCATTTAATCTGAGATCATGGGGATTTCCACCCATGTCTCCTTGCTGGGCTCCTGGTTCTTATTTAAGTGTTTTCTGGTTTAAATATTTTTAATTGATGTTCTTATACTTTGCACCCCTTCTACAGTTTCTCATCCCAATGTGTCTTCCCCATGATCCTAAACATATATGTCCATTACCTTATTTATGGATATCTTTGTCTTCAGCATGTACAACTACAATACTCATTTGAATCATTAAGCATAAAAATTATGCAACATCCTTTTCAGTAACCTTTGAAGGAAGTTTCCCAATTATGATATTGGTTCAGTTTATAGTATAGATCAGATTCATAAATTGGCCATTGATCTAAAAATAATTGATTGTCTTTTGAGATTATAAAGTTGTTCTTGCCCTTTACAATATGAAAAAGCACAAACTTTGCACAAGGATTATTACCTCTTTGTCATCCTCCGGTGCATAAAATTATGGGTGCCCCAAGCTTTCCTAGAGGCCGGGCACAGGAGTTTTGAGGCAGTGAGATATGAGGCTACAGAAAAGGAAGAAGGACGGCTAACTGTAGTGTGTATCCACCCCCTCCCACCCTGCCCACCACTATCCACCTGGAGACACTCACACTGACAAACGGAGGCATGGTACTGATTTTTGAGCATTGGTCTAAAACAATATATTTTTTGATATGTGTTGTAGATCTCCTACAAGTATCTTATCATCGCTCTTGGAATCCAGCTGGACTATGAGAAGGTACCTTCTTCAATTGTTGCTGTGTTATGTTTTCTGATTTATGCTAAGGCAAAACTAAAACACTATACTCTTTCCTTGTATTCATTTGTAATGGAGGAATGGTAGGGAAGTGGTTCTAAGACACTAACTCCGGCATACCAAGCCTAACTTGTTTCTTAGAGACCTTTTCATGATGCCAAAAAGTCTTTTCTAAAATTTTGTCATTGGTAACAATATGCTTTGGCTTTAAAGTTTAATCACAGTTTAGTATGTCTGTGCCCTAATTGTGTTCCTTGAAGAAACAAGCTTTTGCTGCACTCCCAGGAAGCTGCCTTGCTACACAGGGCTAGGCTGGCTTTATGGCTTTCCTTTGCAAATCAGATCGAGTTTGAATTCTTAAGCGGATTGCAATAGCAGAACACAGCGGTTAGTTCATCAGACTCTGGAGGTATATTTAGGGGTTATTGTATAGAGATTTGAGCATTTGGTGTATGAAATGACCAGTACAATATACATGCTGCCTAGAAGCTTTTTAGATGAGTTTTCAGCAAGCAAGGGCACCACATGTTCACTGACATTGTGAGATTTGTGTAGATATTCCTAAAATACACTAGAACAATTCATTCATTGTTATGATTCCCAGGAGCTTGTTGGGGGTTTTATGGAAGTTCTCTAGTGCCCTCCTTGCCTTGTGAGGAGGGCGGAAGAGGGCAGGACTGAGCGTTCGTAAAGCCCTCTTGTAGCAAGCTAAGAAGCAGCAGTATTTAAAGGCAGCCATTGCTATGGAGTTCCTACTACTCATCAAGAGAGATGCTGGGGACTGAGAGTGAGCCTTTACAGCTTCCTCCTTTTCATAGATGGGGGAATTGAGGCTAAGGGAATGGAACTTAACTGTGACTGGCCTACTACCAGGCAATCTTTGACTGCAAATTCTAGAAAATGTCTCAAGTGAACGTAAAGCGAAAAAGAAGGCAACCATTTGCAGACATGAGATCCCCGTGGAGCACTAGGCAGAAATGTGACGGTCTCTGGCAGGCTGGTTCTCCACTCCATCTGTTGGATGTATGGAGCTCTCATGCCTGACATGGACCATCTGTCTCTGCTCTTTTTCATGCCAGCTCACACCTCAGCATGGTGTCCTGCTAATTCGTTGGTCCGTCATGTGACAGACAGGCTAGTCATCAGCTCCCTAGCACACAGCCCACCTTTGTACCATCGAAGGGCAATTCCATTTCTTCTCTTCCCTGATGCTCAGGTGCTTCTCTCTGCTCCCATCTCTCTGCCTCAGCATCTCCTGAAAGCAAGTCTGATTGATGAGTGAACATAGACACACTTCATCACACAGAACTTCCTGGGGAATTTGGTTGCCAGGTTATGGCACCCTTTCTCTTAACGGTGACTTTTAAGTACACGGTAACTTGTTCAGAGTTACAACACTACCTAGTAGGAAAGGAGACAGAACCCGGATCTTTGGCATTCCAAAGGCCATGCATTTAATGCCTTGCTTTACTGCTTCACAACCTGAGAGTCTTAGCTGCACAACCCGAGAGGCAGTTTCGTCTTATTGACATCAGGATGAATGACTCTTGGTCCTGCCTATCTTCTCAGGAAGCCATGTGGTTCTCCTGAAGGCAGTTGTGGCTGGTGTCCTGTCCTCACTCTAAAGGGGGAAAAGCTGTGTCTCAGCTGCAGCCGCATGCCCAGGGAGGCGGAGTTGGGTTCGCCAAGTCTGAGCCCATTCTTCAGGCTGACAGGTGACTTTAGGGGTCATGGCTGTGGTCTGAGCCTCTCATATACCCTTCTGTTCCTCGTGTGAGTACAGGGGGCTGATGCCACTGTAATGTCTGAGGGTTGCAGGCAAAGAACAAGGGCTCCAAAGCACTGTGACAAATTTTTCTGTTTTTAGTACGTAAATTTGCTTTAATCTCTGATAAATGGTAAGTTTATATGTAAACCAAAAAGTGCTTTAAAGTAAGCTTCTTTGTTTTTTGCTCATATACTTATTTCTTAATTTTGTCACTTAGCATGCAAGATAATGGATTTCATTAAGACATCTTCATGTGTCTTTTCACATCCTGTCCCACATTAGTTAGTAGGCCCTTTCCTCCCTTAATATTCCTTCCTTAGTTTTCATGGCCCATGTATCCATCACTTCCTTCCCCTCCCCTCTCTTATGGCTTCTTCCTTTCCTCTATGATTCCTTTTCTAGTTCCTTCATGTATACACATACACACACACACAGCACACCACACACACACACTACACACATACACCACATGTACACACATACCATATACCACACACCACACACACTACACACATATACCCTACACACACACACATATACCACACAATCCACACATCTCTCACACACACACATCACACACACAGACCACACACATAGACCAAATACACACACACACTATATATACCACACACACAGCCCACACATACTACTCACACAGACATACACACCCACACCATGCACACACATGTAAATGTAAATCTAGAACATGCATATGAAAAAATATGGTATTTGATTTTCTGAGTTTGGTGTATTTTGCTCAATGTAATGATCTTCAGTTATATATATTTTCAATAAATGTCATGATTTAATTTGTTTTCATGGCGAAGTAAAATTTCATCTATTTTTCTATCTCACACTTTTTAATCTATCTTTTTAAAAGACAAATTTCTGTGTGTTTGGTTGCAGATTAAAGGACTGCCTGAAGGTTTTGCTTATCCCAAGATAGGGTCCAATTATTCAGTGAAGACGGTGGAGAAGACATGGAAGGCCCTGCAGGACTTCAAGGAGGGCAATGCGATTTTCACCTTCCCCAACACTCCAGTGAAGTGTGCGGGCGCCCCCCAGAAGATCATGTACCTGTCAGAAGCCTACTTCAGGAAGGTGTGTCTCCTTTTCAGGACGGAGACAAGGGCAGGTGCCACCACCCAGCCCCTGCCACAAGTCCGCTGTTACCCCTGTCGTCTGACCTTTGTATTTCTAGAAGTTTTGTTCCATGTGTGCACAGTGACATAGCTGGAAGTGGAAGAGACCACTCACCACACACATTCGCTCATAAAACTCTTCTATCAGTTAGATGAGGTTTCTCTGTAGACTTAAAATATATGATGACAATCATACTGTACATACAGAGTATTCCATGTTATTGATAGTCCTTGTGACATGCTTTAAAACTGAGTCTAAAAGTCCACTGGCAGACTATGTTAGAGATTGTCTAAATACTTTAGTATATGTTATTAGGCAACTAATTATAAAACACACACACACACACACACACACACACACACACACACTCCTCTCAATTGCTTTCACTCAGTCTCAAGGTTAGGAATATTTTCTGACTTTTGATACATGTATTTGCAAATAGGCAAAATGCCAATTTTAAAGCTCAAAAAAAACATTCTCATGGAATTTCTGAGCTTTTGGAAAGAGCTTTTGTTTTTTGTATTGAGGGTCAGGGAGGTTTGCCAAAACACCTTCTGTGTGAGAGCCGTGGAGTACACTGGCATCATGTAGTGTGGTCTTTCTGCCATCTGTGACCTTTACTGAGACTGAGGCATGGTTTGACTGGAGCCATGGTAGGACGCAAAGCGACTTGTGCTTCTGTGAAAGGACAGACAGGGTCAAAGGGAGGGGCTGACTTGAGGATCTCTGTTCTTGGAGCCTGGCAGTGGACATGTGCTCCCCTGAGCTCTGTAAACCGCAGTGATCCCATGAGTGGGGAGCTCAGAGACAGCTTCAGCAATGGCTCCCGATGCTGAGGAAGTTCATTCCAGATCATAAGGGTTGGTACAAGCACTTGAAGGTCTACCAACTTAACTTCTGGTCAAAAGCTGGCAAGATCTCTACTGAGGGCTTGAATTACGGTCTGGATGAAAAGAAGAAATGAAAAACAAGGTGACGGCTGGCATGATCATCTGACTTTTCTCTTCTGTTTTTCTTAGACTGGAAAGCGACCCAAGGCCAATATCATCTTCAACACTGCTCTTGGAACAATCTTTGGGGTGAAGAAGTATGCAGCTGCCTTGCAGGAGATCATCCAGGAGAGGGACCTCACTGTGAACTATAAGCACAACCTTATTGAAGTTCGAGCTGACAAACAGGAGGCTGTTTTTGAGAACCTGGACAAGCCTGGGGAGACAAAAGTAATTCAGGTGAGTGACAGGCAGGTTAAGCTGATGGCCTGGGCTGTAGCTGCTGCTCTGAGCAGCTGCTAAAGGGGACACAGTGGCACCTCCTCCCAGACTTCCTTCACAGCTTGCTCAGGAAGGCTGGTGAGCTAGGGCGAGAAGGGGAAGTGGAAGAGATGAGAGGGGAGAGACTATGTCAGTGAGGAGTGGGGAGGGCTTATCTGCCGGGCCAAGTGATTTTTTTTTGTCATTCATGTATGTACGTACGTACGTACGTACGTACGTACGTATGTATGTATGTATGCTTTTCAAGACAGGGTTTCTCTGTGTAGCTTTGGAGTATGCCCTGGAACGGGCTTTGTAGACCAGGCTAGCCTCATACTAAGAGATCCGCCGGTCTCTGCCCCCGAGTGCTGGGATTAAAGGTGATGCTACCACCACCCGACTACCTTTCCTGACACTGAAACTTGAGTTTTTATTGCAGTTTTGGGAGGGCTTCCTCAAATGCAAGGCCCTGTGACGGTCTCAACCGTTGGTGTGTGAGAAACAGCGTTGTTTATGAATGGGAAGGAAGCTGTGGGTCTCTCAAGAAAGACAGAGGTGTTTTTCATCTGTGGAAAATGGTGTCTTTACACATCTTTCAGACATGTAAACACTCAGCCCTTAAATTCTTTCTCAAGGGACTTGGCAGAGCCACCAGCCTCCTTTGGACGATTCTAGCCTGTGTTGTGTGCTCTTGGCCTTGGGCATCTGTTTCTTTTCCCGCAGAGTGGGAATACCACTTCTGTAGAGGAATTATGAAGATTAGGCACAAGATGTGCTGGTGCTGCAGACTGTTTGCTTATAACATTCTGGCGGAAGCTACCAGCAGCGAGAAAACGTGACATGCTCACACTGCACTCTGTATTTAATGACGAAGGAGTCCATAAAAAAGAATTTTGAATGAACCAGCGATTAGTCTTCTAAACATCAAAAAGCTAAATTTGAGTCTTTTTTTTTTAGCTTAATCTCTTTTAAAAATACGCTGCACCCACTTTTCTTTCTTAAACAGAATACATTAAATATCATTAAAAATGTTACTGATGGCTCAGGGGCATACTTTAAAAATCCTTTATTTGGAAATATCCTCAAACCTCGGAGGAGACGTAAAAACAAAGACGACAGAAATAAAATTGTGTTTGCCTTTAGCTAGAGTCACACACAGGATCTTGCAGCAATTGCTTTAGCTCAATTATTTAGTTTCCCCTCAATCTCTATTTCTGTTAATTTTCCTAAATATAGGTTGCATTCATCAAGCATTGCTCTCCTTATTTATAGAATTTTTTTTCTGAAAAACTTCCTGAGATAAGAGTACTTTTTAAAAAATGTGATCACAGTAATTAATCAACTTAGTAAATCTGGCACATCTATGATGTTTTATCCACTACCTGTATCCAGTTTTGTTGATTGACCCAATGGCTTCTACAGCGTTCATCCATCTCCAGTCCAGTGAGTTTGCTGTCTCTTTAGTCTCCTTTAATCTGGCGCATTTCCACAGCTTTCCTTTATTTCCTATGTTCTAGAACAATAGAACCTCTGAACTTTCTCAGAAGCCTTTCTCATGTCCAAGATAAACTTTGCTTTGTGCGCCTTGCACAGGTAACCCTGTGGTCCAGGGAATTGCATTTGCAAGCATACAGGCTCCTCAGTGGAGGTTTGCTCTGGTCTCCTGTTCAGATACTGTCTAGTTTCTCCACTGAATTGTTGTTCTTTTTCTCCTTTGCTAATAAGAAAGCCTTCAGAGAGACATTTTCAGGTCGTGCGTACACTCCGTTCTCTGAAGTTTCACCTGACTTAGTAACCACTGCTGATTCTCGTCTCCCTCACTTCCACTGCGGTGACTACAATATGAGTTGTTTTTTGTTTTGTTTTGCTTTTTTGGGGGCTTACCCCCTTTTAAAATACATTTTTAATTGATATTTATTGAACTCTACATTTTTCTCTGCTCCCCTCCCTGCCTTTCCTCTCCCCCCTTCAGCCCTCCCTCTTGTCTTTTTCTATTTTCTATTTCCCATGTAGATTAGATCTATGTAAGTCTCTCTTAGTGCCCACATTGTTGTCTAAGTTCTCTGGGATTGTGGTTTGTAGACTGACTTTCTTTGCTTTATGTTTAAAAACCACCTATGAGTGAGTACATGTGATAATTGTCTTTCTGGGTCTGGGTTACCTCACTCAAAATAATGTTTTCTAGCTCCATCCATTTTCCTGCAAAATTCAAGATGTTATTTTTTTCTGCTGTGTAGTACTCATTGTGTAAATGTACCACATTTTCCTTATCCATTCTTCAGTCGAGGAGCATTTAGGTTGTTTTCAGCTTCTGGCTATGACAAACAAAGCTGCTATGAACATAGTTGAGCACATGTCCTTGTGGCACGATTGAGCATCCTTTGGATATATACCCAAAAGTAGTATTACTGGGTCTTGAGGAAGGTTGTTTACTAATTTTCTGAGATATCGCTACACTGACAACCAAAAGGGTTGTACCAGCTTGCATTCCCACCAGCAATGCAGAAGTGTTCCCCCTTTTCCACAAACTCTCCAGCATAAGTTGTCATCAGTGTTTTTGATCTTGGCCATTCTTACAGGTGTAAGATGGAATCTCAGAGTTGTTTTGATTTGCATTTCTCTGATGACTAAAGATGTTGAACATTTCCTTAATTGTCTTTCAGCTATTTTAGATTCCTCTGTTGAGAATTCTCTGTTTAGGTCTGTACTCCATTTTTTTTTATTGGATTATGTGATCTTTTGATGACCAATTTCTTGAGTTCTTTGTATATTTTGGAGATCAAACCTCTGTCTGCTGTGGGGTTAGTGAAGATCTTTTTCCATTCTGTAGGCTATTGTTTTGTCTTGTTGACCATGTCCTTTGCTTTACAGCAGCTTTTCAGTTTCAGAAGGTCCCATTTATTAATTGTTTCTCTCAGTGTCTGTGCTGCTGGGGTTCTATTTAGGAGGCGGTTCCCTGTCCCAATGTGTTCAAGTGTACTTCCCACTTTTTCTTCTGTGAGGTTCAGTGTAGCTGGCTTTATGTTGAGGTCTTTGATCCATTTGGACTTGAGTTTTGTGCATGGTGATAGATATGGGTCTATTTTCATTCTTTACATGTTGATATCCAGTTATTAAATATGCTTGTTAAATATGCTTTTTTTCCATTTGATATTTTTTTCTTCTTTATCAAAGCTCAGGTGTTTGAAGATGTATGGATTGATATTGGGTCTTCTAATTGGTTCCATTGGTCCTCTTGTCTGTTCTTATGCCAATACCAGGCTGTTTTCAGTACTGTAGCTCTGTAGTAGAGTTTGAAATCAGGGATTGTTATGCCTCCAGAAGTTCTTTTATTGTACAGGATTGTTTTGGCTATCTTGGGTTTTTTGCTTTTCCATATGGAGTTGAGTACCATTCTTTCGGAGTCTTTGAAGAATTTTGCTGGGATTTTGATGGGCATTGCATTGAATCTTTACAATATGAGTTTTTAGACCCCAGAATTTTATCCACATTTACTAGTATGTGCTTGGCATTTTATCAGCAAGTTTTCAATTAATTACTGGCATGAATTCATTGATGCTCATTTTCTCCAATGTTTTAGTACTCATTAATGCTTTTATAATTATTTTCATGGTCAAATTGTCTCAGATTTGGTCAGAAGCCTCTTCAAACTGGCTTTTGTGTCCTGGTGACACATTTCTTTCTTTTCCCAGCACTTCTGTGCTGTCTGCTGTGATACTTCATTCCTGCTCATCTGGGTTTGGTCTCCTCCAGATCAGGGTCCCTCGCTGAACATCTCTCACGTAGCCCAGTGCCCAGGGCCCACTGGTGGCCATATGGCTGCTAGCTATCATTTTACACCAGGATCTCCACTCTTCTTTGTGGTTGTTGTTGTTGGTTTTTGCTTTCCATTTTTCTAGGTTGTCAGGAAGTTGTGAGTGTTGGAAGGTCCTCCCACCTTCAGACTTTTTAAACTTGCTGCTCCCATTATTTTTCTTCTGGAAAGCAAGTGAGCCACAATTGCCACTTTTATGCAAGTGGAAGTGAATGAGCCGTGAGTGTCTGTCCAGAGCAAATGTCTGTGCAAAAAGTGTGAGCTTGAGCAAAGGAACTTAATTGTGTGTGTGTGTGTGTGTGTGTGTGTGTGTGTGTGTGTGTGTGTGTGTGTGTTTATGTGGTTTCCAGCTGTGGTCTGGGAGTTGAGGCTGCAGGTAGAGACCTGGATGAATGAGTGGATGTTTCCTTTTACCAAGATTGTAAAGTAGGGAGATATTTGTGTCACCGTTGAGTGATAAGATTTCAGCTCAGATATTTCAGTTATGCTCTTAGCCTTAGGAATATCAGAAAGGTCATTGGAGGTTTTCATGTAACTGCTCTCAGCACCAGAATCATCTAGGAAGCGTTTCAGATGTACTGATTCCTGGGTCCCCATGATACAGATTTTGATTAATTGGCTTGGAGAGTGGATTGAGGATGATTGAAGACTGAGTTTCTAACATTGCTCCCTGATTCTCATGTTCAATTAAGGCTGAGAACAGCATGTAAGAAATAGTGTGCCCTAAAACTGAGTGGTCCTAGACACGTTATAAACAGCATGCTAAGTGGTCCAAGTTTCTCCATGCTCACTGACACACAGACCTGGTGTCAGGGACTCATGCCCTCAAAAGGTCCCTCAAGGGTATCACGGTAAAGAGTACCAACCATTTGCAACATGTTCCTCAGCTTAAGTAATCATCTAGCAGACAGATGGTTTGAATAAATATAATTCATCTTTTTGATTTCTGGCTTCTCAGTGTTTGTGGAGTCCAGTGGAGGGCACTGCACACTAGGGACTACTGGCTGTCACAAGGCTGAAATGATTTTTAATGTGTTAACATTTTTTTCCCTGATGAAACATGAATATTGGAGTAAATGTGTCCTGGAGTAGACTTGACCATCCATTGAAGTTATGACACGTAATTGTAAAATAAAATGAATAAGACATGATCTAGAAAAAATGGAAGAATATTCCATAAACACAAAGTTGATGAATGAATGAAAGCTTCAGCAAAGGCTTGTCAAGGGCAGCCTTCATTTATGTGCCTGGGAAAAGAAAACCCATCCCCGTATTCGACACTACTTTAAACCTAAAGGTAGACACAATCCCTCTTCTCCAAGTTGTCAGAGACATTTATCACTCAGTTTGTTCTCTTATGCTGGTGACTGGCACTTTTCTTTATGTTGAGAGTTGAGGCCTATTTGGGAATGATGCTCACACCAGTTTTTAACATGATATTTGCAGGTTTCAGAGACTAAATATCTCCTTCCAGAATACAACAGAAGAATCAAACCCAGACATTACTAAGTTGACAGCTGAGGGTCAGAGAAAGATGAACAATAATGCCATTTCTCAATTTTTATCAAAAATGGGAGTGTCAGTGAATTATTTCAGAATATTAGTGAATTCTATTTCAAAATACTGGGTTCCCCCATCCCTTCTGTTGAAGAGACATGGGCTCAGTAGAGGCAGATTGTATCAATCTTTGAGGACAGCTGTTTAGTTTCTCATCATCCTCCACAGAGTACATAAGGTCTTGGAGAGCCTATGGATCAGTATAATCCCTAATGCACAATGTTCCCTGCAGCCATTATGATGTACATAATGAAGGGGACAGAGAAGAGCTTGTGGGCCGTAGAGACATTGAATAGACAATAATTGGGATGTTTTTGTTTTGTATAGTATGAAATGCTTCATGTCACACCACCTATGAGCCCACCAGATGTCCTCAAGACAAGTCCTGTGGCAGATTCTGCTGGCTGGGTGGACGTGGACAAAGAGACTCTGCAGCATAAGAAATACCCAAATGTGTTTGGCATTGGGGACTGCACCAACCTTCCCACCTCCAAGACAGCTGCTGCAGTAGGTAGGATAACCAGCGGTGCTTCCCCTCTCTAAAACCGATGTCTCCTCAAGGTTCCACCCAAATAAGAACAGAAGTGTAGCCTAAGCTTTCCTCATTTAATAATTTTTAATAATTATTAAAAATTAAAAATATTGTATAATATAATGCAATATTATATTCAGTAATGAAAAAAAACTGTCTTGTGGTTTAAAAATGACTCTGTCTTCTCCAAGGGAGAATCAAGTCATCAATGAGCCTGGTGTTGTGTGGAGTAGAAGGTAGCTTTTAAGGACTTTGCCAAATTACCCAAACTGTCCTCACCTGTACCAGAGACTGTTTTCAGGGCAAGGATGACCTGAAAGGGTATGACCCTTTCCTGGCTCTCTGAGTTCGACGCCTTTTCTGAGTGCCATGCTTGCATCTCTGCTACTCTCGGTCCTTGATACCAGGCAGGTTGGCTATTTTTCTTCCACCTAAACCACTGGAGAGCCAGGGATGCATTTGTTTCCCCAGGAAACACATGCAAGTCAATGAAAGCTTGCAGACCAGAAAATTGTTCTGTATAGACAAGCACAGTGGAGCATGCCCTGATTGGTACACGATTAAGGCCTCAGCCTGGAAAACTAAATTTCTTTACCTAGATGTTCTGCACTAGCAGTGATGGGAAGAATTGCCTTTTAGATTCTGTCCTCCACGGAGAGGAGCTGTCTTCTGTGGATGCCATAAAACATGGACCTCCCTGACGATGGGGCGATAGTGTTTCGTGTGAACTAGACACGTGTGGAGCATGTTGTGTTACTTTCATTTTCTAAACATTAAGAAAGACTTTCTAGCTGAGCAGTGGTGGCGCACGCCTTTAATCCCAGCACTCTGGAGACAGAGGTTGGCGGATCTCTGTGAGTTTGAAGCCAGCCTGATTTACAGAGCAAGTTCTAAATAGTAAGCTACACAGAGAAACCCTGTCTTGAACAACTAAAAAACAAAACAAAAACAAAACAATCCCCAGCCCAAGAAAGAACATGAGATCTATTGAATGTCTTTTTCATTGTCAATATTTATCTTCTATCTCTTTAATTTCAAATATCTGAAAAAATACATGTTTGACTTACTATTCTTTATACTTTTATATTTTTTCTTTTCTTTTTTTAATACTTTTATATTTTTTATGAGTCATTTGAAAGTAGTTGAGGCATCATGATATTTTGCCTTAAATACTTTAACCCATTTCTCTTAGAAAGGACATATTCTTCCATAGCTACAGGACCTTTATTATGTCCAAGAAATTTATCATTGTATAATAAAACCATCTCACATGCAATCTAACCATATTTTCTCAAAACATTCATGGTAGCCTGTGAAATTAATTTGTCTAGTCTTAGATAAGGCTGGACTTCATCACTTGGTTGCAGTAGTGGTGCTTGCTGGTTTATTTTTTTTCATCACAAAAAGATCTTTTAAAAAATGTAGTTACATTTGTTTGTTTGTTTATTCATTTATTTATTATTCAGGGGAGTGCACTCATGGGGGTTCAGACAGCTTGGAGTTGGTTCTTTCCATCCAGCATGTGGGTTCTGGGGATTAAACCTAGCAACTCATGCTTGGTGGCAAGCACCTTTGCCTGCTCAGTCATTAGCATGTTTTTATCTTGGTAATTGTAGATAGCGCGTCAGACAATGCTTTTAATTTATATCCACATTACATGCATTTCTGTGGTGGAAATACCTGTTACAAGAGGCTCAGATTGCCTGGCTTTTAGCCTATGCCAGTGTTTCAGAGCGACAGATTGAATACCAGTTATCAAGCGAAGCCTGCCTTCCAGCCTTGCCATCCCCCTAGTCGGCGTCGGCGTTGCTCAGCTCTGTAAACAGCATCCCCATTGCTTTTGCATCTGCTTTTTTACAAACCATGTTTTATTGTGTGATTGCTCCCGAGCTTACTGGAAAGTCCTGCTTATACTTGGGTAGTTTCCGCGCCTTCTGTTTTCACAGAACTGCAGTGAGTGCCCATCTTTGTCACTGCGCATGAATACTTGCTTGTGCCTTTCGTGTCTTAGTTAGGGTTTTTATGGCTCTGAAAAGACACCATGACCACAGCAACTCTGTAAAGGAAAACATTTTATTAGGGTTTGCTTACAGTTTCAGAGGTTTAGTTCCAATTATCATCATGGCGGGACATGGCAGCATGCAGGCAGCCATGGTGCTGAAGAAGGAGTGGAGAGTGCTTGATCCGCAGACAGCTTCAGGAGATTGAGTACTGGTCATAGCTCGAGCATATATGAGATCTGAAAGCCTGCCCACTTAGTGCTACATTTCCTCCAACAATTTCCTGATAGTGCCACTCTCTAATGGCCAAGCATTCAAACACTAGAGTCTATGGGAGCCATAGCTATTCAAACCACCGCTGTGTCTAAATAACAAGGACTTAAGCTTTCCCCAAGAATTTCTTACTCACATCCCTTCCCCAAGCTCCCTGAACGTCCTTGTGCAATGCCTGCACACATCCCTCCTTGGGTGCGCTTGCCTCCCAGACTGTCTAGATCACTGTAAGCAAGGCCATGTCTTACACATGGAATGTGGCTTCCATGGGTTATGTCTCTTTCCTTGCTTCTCTGCCATGAGACTCTTGGGCAAAACAGAAGAAGACTATAATAGAGGGCAAAACCACAGCTCAGGTCTGCTTACACACACATACTTTTTCAACTTCGCTTTTGGGTGTGTCCACTTCCAGGCCTGGTTTCTCTGCAGTGGCACCTACAGACAGCTTTTCTCCTTTGCCGTTGAGCTTGGCATCCTGTGCCAGGGCCTCCTCACGTATTCTCAGTGCAGTTTCCAAACCCTTCATGCGCTCGGTAGTATCGGAATCCCTCAAAGAGGGGGAAGGTTCCCTGCAGATGTCACCTTGTCAGTGGTGAAGACAGTCACTGAACAGTTTCATTCAGTTGTTTACTTCTGGAAGAAATAAAATCATCTTTTTTTTTTTAAAATCTGAGTGCCAGTAAACTATTGTTTTTCAGGCAAAATTACTCTGTGGCCTATCTTTGAACAACCAGTCAAGAAAGATTTCTGTACATGAAACCTTTGTTCAGTTCAATGGTAGTTTCCTACATTTTTGTACTCAACCTCAAAAATACTCCATTGATCCATGAATGAGAACTAATAGACCCATATAATGCATATTCTTTGAATTGTATGAGTAGGACTTTCTATTTTTCTCTCCACTCTTTCTACACACACACACACACACACACACACACACACACACATCTATAGACTCTATCTATCTATCTATCTATCTATCTATCTATCTATCTATCTATCTATCTATCTATCTATC